CATTTTCCTATTATTTGAAATGGGGACAACTGAAAAAGTTGCAATGTTTTTCGTGAATTTCATGAATGGAGAGGATAAAAGTGGCTGAATACGCTTTACTACCGAAGTGGAAGTTAATCACTCCATAGCCTTTCTGGATGTGCCAGTGGAGAGGACTTGAACGTTGAATTTGAGTTTTCCGTACATCGGAAACCAACAGCTCTAATCGATGCCTACACCCAACGTCGTTTCACGTATGAACATCATTCCCTCAAACGGACTTCAGAAATAAAGGCACTGGGAAGCTTGTCAATTTCTGACGCTGCTATATCGCTTCTTTTTGTATGACGCTTAGAAACATATTGCTACGGTTTAATGTTTAAGCATGAAAGCCACCGGATGGCAGCTTTCAACACTGTGTGCTCATGCATTAACACAGTTTGACTATCCACCCACACTTTCACTCAAACGAATTGCATAGGCTACCGGAGGCTCTCGAATCAGACAGAATGGCCGTACACCTCGTCATTCTGGCATCATCAGACAAAATACCAAGCTGTCCCCATTATTCGCAAGTTACTGACGTGCTACCCGCTTCTCGACTGGCTACACTGAAGTAAAGTGGGTTAATTCGCGGTAAACACAAAGATTGTTCGTTGAGTGGACTCGAATCAGGAATAACTGGACGTTGAGCTGACCCTCTAGCCATTATGGCAAGATGGCCAAAGATTGGCTCATCTGATGTGTCTGGCTCTAAGGAAGTTAACGTACATCCCATATGCGATGTAGTGGACCAAAATCAGGTTTATGGATTGTGAAACGCCAGGTAGACCGCTGATTTCGAATAATTATTGTGTTCCTTTTGTCTCGCTAATCTCAACCGTCTCAAAGTTCATGACACATCAAGGCAATGAGAAAGTAGACTTCACTTCAGGTGCGATCTAAACTCAGAGCCACGACAAATTTAAACAATGAGGATCAGTATTTGAGTTTGCCTTGTCCTGATGATGCTACGGCCTACGCAGCAAAACGCGTTGGCATTAAATTCTTTCATTATCCGCAGTGTTTGGTGCCCTGAACCATGAATCGTTCAAATACTTATCTTCATTTGAGTTTGCTTCCCTCGTTTCTTAAGCCTTTCACTCTCTTTTCGAAGAGAAAAATTAGTCTGTTTCTAAGAAACGACTACATCAGCGAAAATAATTGAAATCAACCCTTACGCTTGCTCGCATCTGCTTAAGACTAAGCTACAGTCATGCACATACAGCTTCAAAGGAACATTTTCCACTTGTTTTTCACGCTTTGACGAATGATCGACACTCGCTTTCCGATGCTCAGCCTACTGAGCATCGGCAGCTTTCCCGGCTCTTGGCAGTGACATTTCTCTGCCGTAAGTTCTTGATGGAAGGACGGCGGACGACTGAGCGAAAGGCAGCGAGTTTTTGTGTAATTCGAAGCTTAGGAGAAAAGCAGTCAATCGGAACAGCGGCGTAACATGCAGGCAACAGGCACGCAATGAAATACGGCGAAGCTGGCCAGTCGGTGGAAAAAAAGGGGTATAGAATCGGAATCTAACACGCACGAGTTTTTGACTGCCATTCGCTGAGCCGCCGAACCAGCGACCTTCTTCCAGTATTATCAGGCGGCTCTCGAAATAGCCATACATTCAGACTGATGGATATTTTTTCGGAACAACGTCGACGCACCGTTCGTAAAAACTCTTGCCCACGATTAATGACCATGACTATTCTGGAAATGGTCAGTCGTGAAAAAGTGTTCGAGCGGCGAACCGGCTCTCGGGGATGGACGAGTGACAGCTGAGCAGTGGATCAAGATCTTAAGAGCTGCTACTGGGAGCAAACATCTACATGGAGAAAATGAGAAAAGTTTGTAATCGTTGAAGTATCTGCATGTTTTACTTATACATGATGGGCAAATTCATGGTACATTTCAGTAATAGCATCTGTAAATCAAAGGGAGTCCTGAAAATCTTTAATTATCGATCGATTGTGAAAGAAACCCGTTTCAATCATGATAGGTTTCTGGTGCTTCGTCATGAAGAACGTTGTGCAATTCGGCTCTCTGTCCTCGGCATTTGACATAATTTGCGTTAATTTAAAATGATCACGCTGCAAACAGAAGGTCCTCTTGGAAAGATGATACTATAGCGACGTGCTTTGTGAAAAACGTGTGAGGCATTAGAACAAACAAGTGGTTATAAACTTCTGCCACTTTTAGAAGTTTTGAAATGCATGTACCGGTGGAGATAAAATTCTGCCACTCATTCAAAATTCAAATCATGTGTCACCGTCTAAAATTCGGCAGAGTATAATCCTAGTCTGGAGAAGAGTCACTCGAGACAATTGCGCCAAATGATTTATGGCTGTTTTCGAGGTCTGTGGCCGGTCTTTTAAAATATAAGTGGTTGTTTTGTTGCCATTCTTTAAGCATTTGCAACATGTGTCCAAATCATTGCAGCTGTGGTTTCTCAATGGATCAAGGCCTTTCTGATCTTGGAGCTCCTGACTCCTGATATCCATCAGCCTGACGATTCGTCTAAAAAAAAGTCCATTAAAACGGCTTGCACCCTCAGTCATGACCCATGATTCACGATCAAAGGTGAGCATGGGGATGAAAATCGCATTGAAGACAGGCACTTTTTTCTTCAGGCTCAGCTTTGCAGCGTAAGAATAAAGGTCTATATAATTTTTAAGGAACATTTGGAAATAGATCAATGTACGACTACTGGGTGAAATATTAGTTGAAAGATGTTAACGCAATTTGTTTAATAATTGCCGGAAAATAGGTTCCAAATTTAACTCTGATAATGGTTGAAAATCTGTTTTCACCGCTGGTCATATGCTATCATTCGTTGTTGGTGAAAGATGCGAAGATACTCGTGGTATAATTACTGCTCTTGAACCAGATAAACAGCAGAAGCATTAGCTACCGCTGTCAATAAACATATAGCAGAAAGATCAATGTTTTTGTGATTGTAGGAAGTGTTATCATTGCCTGAACCGAGACGGTGTCTTTGAATACTTTCGTATGAGTCACAAGTTAAACTTAATTAGTTCAGGAACAGGTCGTATATACAAACTGTCAAACGACTTTGATGACCACCCAACGATCATACTAGGAAGCAATTAGGAACTTGCAGAGTTATATTGGACTCAGTAACTTTTAATGAACAGATGAAAAATTGAAAAGACTGCACTTTGAAGAGACATGCACAGCTCTTAGGACAATAGATTAAGAGAAAACACTGTGAAAGACCTGGAATGAACTCTTTAATTAATGAAGCATTCCGAACCCAGAACGGCGTTCTTTTTTCAGCACATATTATAATATAGAGCAATGACATTGTAGTAGTAAATATCAACAAGGTTACGCTTAAAGCACTGTAACTAAGACACATAAGGAAATAAGAAAATCCAAGGTAAAATAAGGTGAAAAAAAGCAAATGAAAATGAAAAATTAATAATACACTGAGGTTAAATAGAAGAAATTGAAATATTTAACAGGTCGCTCCTCCAGAAAATAGATCTTTGAACCTTAATTAACACGGACCGCACTAAAAATTTTAATTTAGGCCCATCCCCTTATCATGAGGCCAGTAGTTGTGATTTCTCGATCCAAAATCCTCATATCCTTGGTATTATGAACACCAAGGTATTCTACGATGGAGTCCATCAGTGGCATGCTATACAGTGTTTGAATATTCATTTCTATCCTCAAAAATAGCCATACGTTCATATAGATAGATCTTCATAAGATCTAATTTATCTAACATATATTTGGTAAGTAGTTAGTAAGTAGTTTTTAACTGATCTTGTGTTGTAAAGTGTTCGCCATACAAGGTTTCGGAAGCCTGAAGTATTATTTAAGGAAAGAATTTATGAATAAATATTTCTTTAGGCTTTCGATTCTGGGCCAATAGTTATAAACATAAGTGACTGAATGATTCATGGTTCAGGGTACCAAATACTGCAGATGGTACAAGAATTTAATGTCAACGCGTTTCGCTGCGAAGACCGTTGCATCATCAGGACTAGGCCTGATAATGAATAATTGTGACAAAATGGAACCCCGATGTTCTGGGGAGCTGTCGATGCCACCGCTGAATGCAACGCAGGAAAATAACGATTCCGGATTGAACCGATGAATGCACAGTGTAAAGAAAGAAAAATCAATTTCTCATTTTACAACAGCAGGCCGTTGCCCGGCCACCTTGCATCTAGACGCACCTATCGAGACGCGGGCGGCCG